CATCATGGCATGTCACAGTGCGGGTCTTCTTTCATCTGCTGTAGTGAGAATTTCATTTTGATTAGGCCACTTAAAATGTAATTTTTTCTTTGTAAACATTGAGAAATAGTCTTGAAAACATTAAAAAGCATTTCCTACTCATCATTGTTTTTAGACAGGCATTAAAATCTTGTTGGGGTCCCTTGACTGACAGACTAAGAGGCCTTTTCTCCAGCTTCCCCACACATTTCCATTTGTGTGACTTAGTAGGAGAACAACTCGAATCTTCCAGTTCACCTCCTGAATTATTCATTTCTATGATGACATTTTTAATTTCCAAGAGGTCTTTCCTGTTCTATGACTGTGCATAACTGTTCTGTTTCAGATGTCACTATTGTTTATGTCTTTCCGATAAGATGGGGACCAGTGGAGGGATACCCATAGGTGGTCTGTTTATCTGTTTCTGTGATATCAGGAACATTTCCCCTCATTGCACTGGGTCATGATTACATTTCTGTTTGTCATTTCTCCTAATGGCCCATCTCTCACATGACTGTGCCAGAGTCACAGGGCCAGGGTCCTACTCTTGCTCTGCATTCTGTCTCCACACTCTAATTCTGATGCAGTGGAGGTCTTGAAACCCATGCAGGATGATGAACTTGACTGTGGTCTGGATAGCTAAGGTACACTGCCCCTTGTTGTCCTCCTGAGCTCTGAGCTGAGCAGCCTCCTATTACAGAACATTCTGGAACACTGCAACAGTTCACTTGCATGGAGTTCAGAGTCATAGTGAAGCAGGATAGGAAGAAGCAAGGAAAATTGGGGAATGGAATGGGGAAACTGCACAGGAAAATTAAAGAAGGCAGAACAGTCTGAACAACTTACAGCTAGCTGGTGAACTGAAAGCCCTTTTCTTGCCTAACCAAAGACACTTGAGAACAAATTATTTGTATGTCTCCTTTTTTTTAAATATTTTATTTCTTTATCTTTAGAGGGGAAGGGAAGGAGAGAGGGAGAGAAACATCAATATATAGTTGCCTTTCGTGCATCCCCTACTGGGAACTGGACTGCAGGGAACCAACCTGCAACCCCGGCACGTGCCCTGACTGGGAATTGAACCACGATTGTCTGGTTCGCAGGTCCGCACTCAGTCCACTGACCTACACCAGCCAGGGCTGTATCTCTCCTTCTTAATAGAAGAATATATAGTGTAAATCACTCTGGCTATAATATAAAAAACAGACCCAGTTAATAACATTTGTACCAGATGACCCCAAGGACAGATGAGGTCAGGGGGACAAAAAACAACGACAAAACAAATTAGAGCCCGACAGAACTAAGATAAAAGTAAAACAGAGGAACTGACCAGAGGATAATCCCCAACCCCCCATGTGCTCATTTTTGATGCATCAGCATATTAAAAACTTTCATGGGAAGCTGATGAATATTCTGCTGACACCCTCCCCTAAGATTCTTACCCGGAGAAGAGAGATACAAACCATCCAGTCAGAGACCTCGGGCAGCTCGCTCTAGATCACACCCACACCCCCCTGTCAGACATGAACTTCCTTCTGTCCTTCTGAGCTCTAAGGTGCCCTTGGTATTTTCAGCTGGGAGATCAGTGGGCATCAGCAGCTTGTCTCAGGCTTATCCCCCATCCTGACTTTTGGGTCCCCTTTTTACTGGACTCTCCAGTGAGCTGACTGCAGCCTGACCTTGGCTCACTCCTTTCCTGTAACACTCCCAGGACCCAGAGCAGCCCTGTCTAGGCTCTCTCCAGTGACTTCTTCTACCCCAAGTCCTTCCTCAGTGTCACTGTCTCAACTTTAACAAACATTTCAAAATCCCCTGGACATGGGTTGTGAAATCTCATCCAGAGGAAGTCAAGCATCCACATGCCACTCACCACACACCACACAGCACACACCACAGGCTGTTCTGAGGCTGAACTGCTCAGGCCCAGGCCTGTCCAGCACCAACAGTTGCCAAGAAACCCAGTGAGAATGAGTCATCAAGTCTCTGAGAGAAAACCCCCTGCTTTCACTGCAGCTTCCCCACCCAGACACCTCTGAGTCTCCTTTCCTCTGTCCCCCACAAGGATCCCATATTGAGTACCCAATGGATTTGCACTTGACCTTCTATGTGGATCCCATGCTGTCACTGCCTGAGACACATTAAGCGATCCTCTGTCTATAATTACTGTCATTCTGTTGATTGAAGCATTTAGAGGCATGACATTCTTGGGCTGGAACAAAAATAAAATGTTTTATAAAACCACAATACAAGAAACATTCCTGAATAAATATTGTGTCATTAACTTCTTAGGTTAATGAATTTCTGTGTCAAAATGTCAGCACTTTTAAATTGCTGAGACCTTTTACAAAAGCATCCTTCAGGAGTTTTGTCCCAGTTTTCAATCCCTTCAACCTTCACAACAGAATGTGGTCCCCACCCTCGGGCTGAAACGCTTATCACGTTCCTTCATCTTTGCCCAAATGATAGCTGGTTGGACTCACGCGGTCTCACAGAACATCAGCATCATACCATAGAAACGTGAGACACAAGGACATCCTGATACCACAGCGACGTGAGACACAACACAACCACACCGCGTGTTGTCTCAGCACAGACAGAAACAAGACCCGGTACAGCTCACACACTACCAAGCAGCCCCTGGCCGGGAACAGAAGGGAAGGCAGCGTCTTTCCTATCACCCCTCACCCTCGCTCCCGTCTGCCATGTCCGGAGGTATTTCCTGAGATACCCAGTCACAGACTTGCCCCCACGTCCTCACGACGCCAATCTAGAGAGGCCCCTGCACCCACAGACCCTCCTAAGGTCGCCATCCATAACCCAGGTCCTGGTCACGCCCTATCTCACTCCTTTCCTCAAAGATGCCCACAACCTGGGAGTGCGCCCCCTCCCCTCACAGCAGCAATGCCCACAGCCCACTGTCTGCCCCAGCCACCCTTAGGCTCTTTGGTGGAAGAACACGGACACACGTTACCTTCTTCTGTCAACATTTTTATGTGTCTTTGAGTTTGATTGTGGGCGTGAGTGTGTATCTCCAGAGCATTTAGTGGTTGACTGAGAAAGTTTTAAGTTTTCCTTTATGGTTTGTCATTTTTTGATCTTAGAGAATTTTTTTATTCCATGATTATAAAATCTTTGTATATTTTTTCATGTAGAAAGAGGCATCCAAGGGTGAAGGAAGACAGAATTGCGTGAATTCTGGGGGACATAGGGGGAAGACATATTGGTAAGGAATCTACGTTGGAACTCCACAGTTTACATCTTCCTCTTCACAACTTTTTAATTATGTACGGGGCCTGCAGGAATGTGGTATGTGTTGTGCTCACACATATTTATTTCTTGAGTTAATACAGACATGTGTGCCTGCTGATGTCTCCCGGTTCACAGAAACGACGCCAAGCGTCCCAATGTGATGTGCACAAGGACCGACTCCAGTGAGGAGCGTTTTTGATCATTCACAACCTTAAGGCCTTACATCACACTGTTGTGGATGTCTATACGCTCTGGTTGTTCAGTGGATATTGACTAATCTTTCTTGGGTATGCTGTATTTTTGAGGATGTGTCTAACACCCTCACAGACAAATGATACAAATTGATTAATTCCCTAACTGCCCTTAATGAAAATGGGGAACAAAAACCAAAATATCTTTCATGATGACCAAGAAAGTGCACAAACACACTCCTGCTATATTCCCAAGTGTCAAGAGCCCAGGAAAGTGATCTGTGAGGGCTGAGTCAGCCTCTTCTTTAAGGAACAGCAAGTTCACTTCAGAGAATGAGAGACACAGAACCTGTGATGACTGAGGTGTGGTGAACTGGCGAACACTCTCTCAAATGAACGTGAGCTTCTCCCTCAAGGAAAGTCAACAGGTAGTTGACACTTGACAGCACTTGTCTGGATGGAATGGAAGCTCTCAGAGGAAACCCAGGGTTTTGGCAAACGTGTGTCTCCTCACAGCAGCCAGACAGCTTCCCAGAGCTGACGACCATTTCCAGTGGGGTCTGCGGTAAGGTGAACAAGTGTGATTTTTGATGATGTGTCTGTAAATGCACCAACACTGGGAGAACTCTATCATTTAGTGAGACAATGCATCACTTTCAAATAATCCTGCATCAGTACAAGAGTCACTGAAATAACTAACAGAGTAGGAAATACTCAGTGGATTTGTTTTAGGTTCCACTTTGCAAAGAGCTTTTCAGGAACTACTATTTGTGTAGTTTCAGTGTATGATCCAAAGATAAATATCCACACTTATCTGAAATGGTAATTAAAATTCTCCTCTTACATATTTGTGTGAGGTTGTATATTTCTTTATATACCATAGCCAAAATAACACATTAAAAGCAGAAGCAAATGTGAAATGCAGCCAACTTCTAATTATATAGACAAGCACTGAGACTTGCAAAACTCAAATGTAAGGACATCCACACGTCGTACTACCTCATTCATTTTGGAGAGGTCATTTTTCATAAAAATATTATTCCTCATTGGTTGAGAAATATCTTTACCAAATATCATTGGTTATTAATATTTTTCAAAATGAATTAATTTTTTCAAACTGTTTTTATTTTTTGCATGGTAAATATTGATAGCTATAACTCACACAAATGAAATTATTTGGGGGATCCGCCATATTTTCTAAGACTGTAGAAATGTTCTGAATCCAAAATGTTTGAGAGTCGCTGAATAAAACATCCCGTGAGCCGGGACTCGGGGAGACAGCGGGACAGAGCTCTCTGTGCAGGAGGAGGAATGGGGCAGAGTCCCGGGTCCCCAAGCCAGATCCTCAGTGTATCAGCCCGAGGACCGAGTCTGGGGCAGGGACTCTCAGGGTTGGGGTGCGCCCTTCTCCCTCCGGTTTCCCTTCCCCTTCTCAAGGCTCCTTCTGCCTGGATACTCCTGACGTTCTGAGGCAATTCGGGTTTGTGTGTCCCAACTCGACACGAGCCAATCAGCGTCGCCGTGGTTTGGAGTATAAAGTCTTCCCACAGCACCCGAGTTCTATCTCCTTAGACGCACAGGGTTTGGGTCATGGGACCCCGAGGCCTGCTCCTGCTGCTCTCGGGGGCCCTGGCCCTGACCGAGACCTGGGCGGGTGAGTGCGGAGTCGGGAGGGAAGGGCCTCTGTGGGGCAGGAGGGAGGGGACCCAGCGGTGGCGCAGAACCCCGGGACATGGATGAGCGTCCCCAGACCCCAGACCCCAGACCCCAGACCTAGGACCCAGGACCCCCAACTCAATCCTCCCCTCTTCCCGCCCTCACCCCTCTTTTCTCAACCACCGAATCCTTAGCTGTTTTCCGGGCACTACGGCCCCCACCTCATACTCCAGACGCGCGCCCTCCGTGTCCCCAGGCCCACACACGCTGAGACATTACGGCACCTTAACGTCCAGACTCGGGAAATCCCAGTATGTCAACGTCGGCTACGTGGACGACACGGAGGTCCTGCGGTTCGACAGCGACCTCCCGCACGCAAGGGCGCAGCCGGGGTTGCCATGGAAGGAGCAGCCGTGGGTGCAGCAGGAGGATCCACATTTTTGGGAAGAGCAGACGCAGCTTTTCAAGCTGTGCGAACAGCATTCCGGAGCAAGACTGAACAACCTGCGAGCCTACTACAACCAGAGCGAGGACGGTGAGCCGCGCGCGGATCCGGGCACAAACCCCAACCCCACAGACGGGCAGGAGTCTCCGAGAATCTGTGGGTCTGAACATCCCCCCAGGGCTGCGGGATCCGCCCTGCGCCCCTCCCGGGAGGAGCCTGCGGGCATCCTAACCCAGTCTTACTTTCACTTAGTTTGCGTTTAATCCCCGCGGGACGGGTCGGGTCTCCACTGGCCGGATGCAGGGCACTTCTGTCCCCCAGCGGGACTAAAGTAGCTGGGCTGACTTTAGGGGGCCGTCAGGGTCTCACACCTTCCAGATTGTTTCTGCCTGCGTCGTGGGGTCTGGAGGGCGCTTCCTTCGCGCCTACGGTCAGTACGCCTACGATGGAACTGAAATCTTCACCCTGAACTTGGAGCTGAGTCCCAGAACCAAAGCCAACACGACTGCTCAGATCACAGTACTGCGCAATTTGTTGCATCAAGAGAATGTGGAGGGTTGGAGTGACTACCTGCAGCACAGGTGCATAAGCCGGCTCCGCCAGTTCCTGGAGAAGGGGAAGGAGACACTGCTCCGAGCAGGTACCAGGGCGCAGGCCTCCCAGACGAGGGGATCTGTGGACTGGGGCGGTTCCTACAAGGAGAGGAGGGAAATGGGGCAGTGTCAGAATGTCCCTCCTGCTGGGGAGGGGGCGGAGGCTTCCCCCTTTCCTTATTCTGTGACTCACTCCAGGGCCCAGCTTCCTCTAAAGGACAGTAAGGGGCCCAGCCTCTCCCTGAAATACCCACAGAGGTTCCCTCACACCCTGCAGCACCTGGGGCACCAGGAACCTCTCCCTAATTCTGGGGCTGAGACCTTCCTGGAGGCCTGATTTGAGTTTTTCTGACTCATCAGCCTCCACTTGAGTCTGTGTCTTCCCTTTGAGACCTGGACACTCCTACCCCAGGATCTCATCCTGATTCTGGAGCTTTCCAAGGAAATAGAAGAATATTTCATGTGCCTCTGTCCAGGCTGGTGCCTGGGTGGTACATTCCCTTCCCCCACCCTCGCTGTCCTGTCCACTCTCAAGGTGGTCACAGGAACACTTCTGGAGTGTCCCATGACCATGCAGAGTTCCTGAATTTTCTCACCCTCCCCTCAGACCCTCCAAAGACACACATCACCCACCACCCCATCTCTGACCAGGAGGTCACCCTGAGGTGCTGGGCCCTGGGCTTCTACCCTGCTGACATCTCCCTGACCTGGCAGCGTGAAGGGGAGGACCTGACCCAGGACATGGAGCTGGTGGAGACCAGGCCTGCAGGGGACGGGACCTTCCAGAAGTGGGCAGCTGTGGCCGTGCCCCCTGGAGAGGAGCAGAGATACACATGCCATGTGCAGCACCAGGGGCTGCCTGAGCCCCTGACCCTGAGATGGGGTGAGGAGGGGGCGTGGGCACAGAGCCTCTCTCTCCTCAGGGTGTCCCTGAGCAGGGTCAGGACTCAGGCCTCAGGATGACCTCTCACCTTCCCTTTGCAGAACCCCCTTCTCAGACCACCATCAACATCATGGGCATTGTGGGCATTGCTGCTGCCCTGGGTCTCCTTGGAGCTGTGGCTGCTGGAGCTGTGATGTGGAGGAGGAAGTGCTCAGGTGGGCAAGGGGTGGGGCTGAGTTCCCTGTCCCCTGGGGGTCAAGCCCAGGTGGAAGTGTGCTCTACCTCCTTAATGGGCATTGTGTCCCCACATGGGTGCTTGTCCATCTGGAGCCTGTTTCCTAACACTGACTCTAGTGAGGCCCGTGGGAAAGTGAGGGACACATTTATCACCTGATGGTTCTAGTGATGGGGACTGATTCCCAGCTATCTCGAGTCAGAGGGGAAGTTCTCTGCTGAGGACAGATGTGCAGAGTGGTGGTAGGTCCAGTCTGCACACATGTACTTTCCTCATGTTTCCAGATCCTAACGTCAGTGTTGAGTAGCATTTCTGGAATCTTCTCTGTGCTTCAGAATATGGGGTTCCTTTAAAATCACGGGACCCAGCCTCCCCCCTGACTTCTCACAGAACATTTTCTTCCCACAGGCAGAGGCAGGAAGAGCTACTCTCAGGCTGCCTGTAAGTCTGGATGTTGGGGAGGTGACATCTGGGACCCTTGGGAGAGTGTGGGCTGGAGTCTGTGAGGGGGGCTCCCCTACCCAGTAACTCTGCTGTTGTGTCTTCCCCAGGCAGTGACAGTGCCCAGGGCTCTGATGTGTCTCTCACAGCTCCTGATGGTGAGTCCCTGAGGGCAGAAAGTGAGAGACATTGGGACCAGGGTCACAACTGGGTTTTGAGGATTCTCAGAGTGGGACATTCTGAGCATGTCATGGGCTGTGGGAGAATGTGACACTTCTGAGACTGACCTGAATTTGTTCACAATAACTTCCTTTGCAGGGTGACAAGGCTCATTTCTCTGGGAGTTGGTGTGAAAACAGTCATTGCAGCCCCCCCCCCTTGGGACTTTAGGGTCCCTGACTGCTGTTTGTTCACCCAGCATCGGAATGTTATTTAATAATCTGAATTTCCCTGCATTACTTTAATATTAGTTATATATATATATATATAAATAAACCAGAAGTGTTGTTGATTAAAAGCTCCAAGGTGTATTGTTTCTAGTAGGTGTTATTCTATCTATACTTCATCCCACTTATTAAGCTCTTTTAATTCACTTGAAGTTCATACACTTACCATGAGGCATGGAGACAACCCGGGAGAGACAGACTCTGTGACACAGGACAAGGGGACCTCACGGCTCCCCAGTGATGTTCCCTGTGACCACCTGTACTCAATGAACTATTCACGGTTTCTTCCCGCACATCTGAATGTGACCTTCTGAACTCTTTGGCCAACGCTGGTTGAGGCCCCTGATTCTAACCAAGTGCTGCTTTGTCGCCTAGGAGTCTCCTCAAGCTTTCAGACCCCCCTCTTGTAAACCTCAGTATTGTCCATGTGGAGTCAGAGAGCTGACTAATCTGAAGGCGAGGAACACCTGCTTAAAGCAGGAACTGTTCCAGTGTCCACTGTCCTTAATCCACTGCAGATGCTGATCTCATTTTGCAGATGCTGAGTCCTGGAAGGTCATGGCCAAGGAGCCCATGTCCTTAGTGGCTTCCTCTGAGAGTCTGTCCTTAATAGAGAGAACCCTTGAGCCACGGGGTCAGTCTGGCTGCTGAGCTAAGAACAGAATCAGGAGACCAGGGACCAGCGAGGCAGGAGGGAAAGGTATGGGGAAGCTCCCAGGGTTCCAGGCTGCAGGTGCTGGGTGTTCTGACGGGGCTGTGAGTGGTGGAAACAGTGGGAAGGGACTGGACACTGAATGCATTTGCAAGATGGATTTCACAGCATTTCCTAGTGATTCAATCTGGGTGTGGGAAAGGAGTCAAGGAGGACACCCCACATTTGTACTGTGTTAGCAGAAAGATGGGGTTATATCAGCAGAGACGGGGAAGACTCTGTCAGGAGTATGTGTGGGGGAGGGGTGCTCCCCTCTTCAAGCATTCAGCTGAAGAGAAGGTCAAGGTGAGACGTCTGTTAGAAACACCAGTGAGGAGTCAGGTTGGACAGATGAGTGTGGGGACCTTGAGGAGAAATGTCTGGGCTGGAGGCATAGACTTGGAGGTGATGGTACGAGAATGACATTTAAAACCATGAGTGTGGATGAGACCACCAAGGGAGCCAGGACTGTGGAAAAGGAAGCAACAAGGTCTGGACACTGCACCTCCCTGTCCCGACAGTGGGGACGTTCATCCTGGTAACTCAACCAGGTGGATGATGGACAGGTCTCTCCATCATACAGTCACCATTTGGTGTTTGTCATTTATTAGTAATTTACAGGGAGATGTTCTGGGATTGTCCTGCTGTGCCCTTCACCACTTCCACACTCACCTTCCTTAGTCCCTCTCATAACTTTTACCCAAGTCAGTAAAAATATGATGGTTGTCCCATAACTGTCCTCAACATTTATTACTAGAGTATAAAGTACACCTTAGGGAATACAGTCCATAATATGGTCATAATAATGTGTGGTGTCAGATGGGAGCTAGAAGTATCAGGGATATTACTGAATAAGCCATATACATGTTTAATATGCATATATTTTAACTCATGGACACAGACAACATATAATCATATGGTGGCAGGGGTTGGTGCAGGTGGGAGAGGGAATGTGGGGATAAATATTGATGGGAAAAATAAATAGAAAAACTATTTTAAGTTTGAAAAGGTACTAACTTAGATATCATGCCCAACATTCTGACAGCATTTTGTGGAGATATTTGTGTAGTTTTTAACAAGCTCACAAGCCATCCTGATCTCAGACAGGGTTTGAACCACACAATTCTGTGATGGACTAGGGCCCAGATTGGGCAAAGGACTTCAATGCATGTTTAAGGGTTTTTTGGTTTTTCACTGGGGAAGGTAACATAGTTCATATGTTGTCATATGACATGAAAGGTCCAGCGTTTTCTCTATGGGGGGGGTGGGGGTGGGTAGGGTCAAGCGGAAGATTGAGAAAGTGGCCCTCAGTTCAACATCATGAAAATCTCAGAATGCACGCTCTCTGGGATTATCCCCCTGAGTGATTTCTGGAGCTTAATGGAGCCCCAAATTTTCTAATTAAAACATAAAAGGATTTTAATATGAGATACTGGGGGCTCATTTTGTTTCAGGAAAAGCCACGGAACACACCAGAAGTGCGAGCAGCAAGAGCTGTGGGACTACAATGCACAGAAAGACCAGCCTGGGTCACAGGAATGACAGTGTGAGGCGTTTAGGGAACAGAGTTCTGAGAAGAGAAGGAACTGGAGAAAAAGGGCCAGCGGAAAAAACCATGACATAAGCTCCTGGCCCAGATGTCCCTGCACCCCAATGACATGTGACTGTAAGCTCAGCTCCTCCCCAGGAGCATGGGACACTTTCTTGCCTCCTGCCCATGGCCCCTGAAGGTGTCTCTGTAATGGCCACCACTGTCCCCAGTCACCAGATGTGCCTGAGGATGATCAGCATCGGGCAAGTTTGCTCTACATTAGAGATGCCCCAGGCTCCCTACACAGACAGTGTTACTGACAGAACAAATGGCATTATAGTGGCATCTCTGTGGGGTGGTCAGGACCTGTAACAGGAACACACTCTGTCCCTGTAACTGAGGTCAGGAGCCACCATGCCTGACCTGTCCCTGCACAGAGCTGTGGAGCTCAGACCAGCCAGGTGGGGGCTCCCTCAGGTCAACTCTCAAGGCAAAATCAGGAGGCATCAGCCCAGGAAGGACTCAGAGCTGAGGGTGAGCAGTGCCCTGGTGGGACTGTGCTGAGCCTGCCTGGTCCTGAGCTGCCCCTCCTGCCTGGGCTGAGCAGGGGGGAGATGGGGACGTGCTGGGGGTGTTTCAGGTGGGGCCAGACTCAGGAGGGTCCCTGCAGGTCCCTGTGCCCTAAAGTCCCCATCAGTGAGAGAGAAAGGTTGGTCCTTCGGGAACCTGGGTGCAGCCTTTTATTGCAGGAGACATGGAGCTCCTCCAACCCTTACAGATGTCCCCTTTTCTGAGACCTCCCAGGTTTAGGGTTGGGTGCGAGGACAGGAATGTGAATTGCCATGCAGTTTTCCATTCCTTCTTGAGAATCCCAGATCCTGAAATAAGACCCAATGACAGACACCCACGCGGCACTGACAAAAGGACACAGAGAAGTGTCTGCCCTTCAGTGACCCACATGCACACTTGTCCTGTTTCAAATCCCCCTGCAGGAGGTGTCAGTCTCTCAAGAAGTCCTGCTGGGATATTGTCACCCTCCTGTGTGGTTACTGTGTGTGAGTGTCAGTCATGTTTCTGTCTCTCATTGAGTGGGGACACCCCTCTGACCTCTCATAACCTGAGGCAGCAGGGAAGAAAAGATTATTTAGATTGAGATGAAGTCTCGTTATTTTCGAAGTCTGCCTTAATGGGTGCATGTGGTGAAAATAATTAAATGTGACTTTTTAAAAAATTCAATTATAAATAAGAGAATACCTACTGGCAGTAATTCAACAGTGTGCTTCATATTCAGAAATATCAATGTTCTTCTCTCACATCAATGTTTATCTCACTTCCTCCCTCTCAGAAAGCAATGGAAAAAAGTCCTATAGTGAGGATTTAAAAAAAGATAAGAAGGAAAGGAAAAGTTTATTTAAGGAGGTGGCACCAAAGGCTGAGTAACAGGTGAGTTGATTCTCCAATGCCTCTAGGGTATGGGTTGTAGAAGGCACTAAGGGACTTTAACTCCAGGTCTCCTTTGATTGGTCAGCACTAGGTAAGACTCAGGGCAGTTGACCATTGCGTCTGGTCCTATGTCAGCAATGAGGCTGTTCTGTCTGGTTTCCCAAGTTCATTCTATAATTCATTCCAAAGTCTAAATCTTCATAAGTACATATGTGAGCACATCAGATATTCAACAACTTTCCTCTCTGCAGACACCTGTCTTCAGCCCTCACTCTTGCCACAGATGGACTGGGTCCCTCCACACCTGGAGTCGGCGGACATCTTGGAGGTTGGTCACCTCCTCTCAGGCAGCCCTGGCCTCTCCTGTTCTGGAATCCCTGTCACCTGGATTCTACATGTTCCTCTTTTTTTTTTTTTTAATTTACTCCCTCCTTTTTTCCACCTTGGTAGTATTTCCCAAACAGAATGTGAGAAGTTAACTGTGAAAACTCTAAACACATGCAGAAACTGTAGGCTATCCTAGCCCTTATTCACATCATGACTGAATATAGAACTCTGTGAAGGAAATAATTTTTTCTGCAGAAAGTAGGAGGCACTGCAAGAATGTCTTCTAGTCTCCATGCCCATGTTTGCTGCCTGTTCAAGTTTCCAAGGTCCCTCCCACCCTCTTTCTCAAATTCCATTGTGTTGTGTCTCAGAGTGGGTCTGTTTTTATCTGATATAGTCAGAATATGTTCAGTCCATTCAAACTGTAATTTGTTATCTGTAAACTTTGAGAAATATTCATAAAAATGTTAAAAATCATTTTGTTCTCATCATTATTTTTAGACAGACATTATAAACTGTGGGGATCTCTTGACTGACAGACTAATAGGTCTTTTCTCCTGCTTCCCCACACTATTCTATTTCTATGACTTAGTAGGAGAACAACATGAATCTTCCAGTTCACCTACTCAATTCTTAATTTCTATGACGTATTTAATTTCTAAGAGATCGTCCCTCTTCTATGACTATGCATAACTGTTCTGTTTCAGATGCCATTATCTTTTACATCTTTCAGATTACATGGAGACCAATGGAGGAGGACCTATAGGTCTGCTGGTCATGTGCTTCTGTGATATCAGGAACTTTCCCTCACAGCACTGGGTCATGATCACATTTCTCTGTGTCATTTCTGCTAATGGCCCCTCTCCCCCATGGCAGTGCCAGACTCACAGAGCCAGGGTTCCATCCCTGCTCTCCACTCTGTCTCCAGATCCTAACTAATCCTGAGACAACGGAGGCCTTGAAATGCATGATGGATGACAAACCTGATTGAGGTTTCAACAGCTACCTTACACTGACCCTCAATGTCCTCCTGAACTAAGTCTAGCAGCCT